GAGGATGGCATAGCTCCCTCCCAAAGTTTGCCGGTCGCTTTCGTGCGGAGCGAAAAAGCCCTTCCCGTTTTCTCGGAAGGGCGAGCGCCGGGGCTGCAAGCCTTAGGACGTGGCTTTTATGCAAGAAAACTCCGTCCGAAAGGGTCAAAGGAGCTGACCTGCGGGCGACACCTTTGCGGGGGTCTCCTTCCAAATCGGCTGGTCACCTGCCCCTCTACTTTCTTGCGGGGGAACCAGCAAACAAGTTTGGCTTTCGAGAGGAGTGGGGGCTGGGAAGTGCAGGGGGGACTGAGGCCAGATGGGGCCGTGCTCGCGAGTGCTCCAGCCAGTCGGACAGGTTGAGCTAGAGTTTCGGAGAGTGGGAGGGAGGGAGCGGCGAGCGGGAAGAGGAAGAAGACGCAGGCGGCGTACGTCGAGCGCCAGGGAGCCGGCGAGAGGGAGCCGGGCCCGGGGCTCGAGCGCGTGGCCTCCCGGGGCCTCGAGGGGCAGCCTCGCCTGCAGGCCCGGGCACTCCCGCTAGAGGGCGGCGGTGCCATGTTCCCTGTACGTCCCCGCCACCCTGGCGACCCCGGGACCGACCCACGGACGTGCATCCGTTAGCCTGGGCGCCGTGGGGTGGGGGTACATTCGTCGGTGCTTTGGGGGAATCCCTTCATTCCCCCTCGGCGCCCCGAAGTGCGAGGACACTAGTTGGGCTGGGGCATTCTCGTCCCGCGGCCCCGCTCGGCCCAGGCACGGCTGGCAGGCGCGGTCCCTCCCGGGTTCCTTGGGTGGCGTCGCCCGACCAGCCGCTTTCCAGGCGGTCTTTGTCCTGGGTGTGGAGGCGGGGGAGGGTCCCGGGAGGTCGGAAGCGCGCAAGTCTGGCGCGGCGCGTATTATCCGCGGCTGCCACCTCCCACTTCCTTTGGCGCCGCGCCGCAGACATGTGCGGGCTGGTGAGCGAGAGCGCGCTGCCTCCGGTGCGCCGCGGGCCGCGCTACCCTTCGGGCCCCGGGCTCGCCTGGCCCGCGCCCTGGGGCGCGGAACTGGAGTCTCGGGGCGCCTCGGGCGTTGGAGTGGACGGCTCGGGCCAGGTCGCTGCACCTTCCTTCCCGCCGCGGACTCGCGGTGGTCTCGAGCGCTCCAGATCTCTGCGCGGGGACGGCGGCGGCTCGTTCGCAGGAACGGGGTTCGCACTAACCGGGTCTGCTGTTTTCCAGGATCGCCACGACGCCAGCAGCAATGGGAACCCGCGCCTTCCGCACCTCTCTTCTGCTGGGCAGCATCTCTACAGCCCCGGGCCGCCGCTCACGCATACCGGGGTCTCGGAATACCCGCCGCACCCCTATTTCCCGCCCCCTTACCAGCAAGTGGCCTACTCGCAGTCGGCCGACCCTTACTCGCACCTCGGAGAAGCGTACGCCGCCGCCATCAACCCGCTGCACCAGCCGGCGCCCACCGGGAGCCAGCAGCAGGCCTGGCCTGGCCGCCAGGGCCAGGAGGGCACCGGCCTGCCTTCGCACCACGGGCGCCCGGCGGGCTTTCTGCCCCACCTCGCGGGCCTGGAGGGCGGCGCTGTGGGTGCCCGCAGGGAGGCCTACCGCCGCTCGGACCTGCTGCTGCCGCACGCGCACGCTCTAGATGCCGCCGCGGGCCTGGCCGAGAACCTGGGGCTCCACGACCTGGGGCATCCGATGGATGAAGTGCAGGTGAGCGCGCTCGGCTCCGGGCCCCTCCTCACTGCTACTCCTCGCCTGGCGAGAGGCCCCAAGCTTACCAGACACTTTGGTTGTTTCTTCCCCAGAACGTGGACGACCAGCACATGCTTGTTCACGATCAAACGGTCATTCGAAAAGGTAGGTAGGTCTTCCCTTGGTATGGGCCGTAAATAACCTGTTCAGACAGTGTTGTCGAGTTACTGACTTTGTTGACACACGGTGACCCACCTTGGAGAAAGTGTGAGGCGGGGACGCTGTGGAGGAGAGATTTAAGGAAGATAGACTGTAGAAGTGAAGGAAAGATTTCTACCTGACCTCAAGCTAAACAGGATGCAGGTTTCAGAATTCAAGATTGTTCTGCAATGGATACTCCAGTTTACTGTCACGTTTCAGAGGGGACTTTATTAATCTTACACAAATCCATCCCGTGATTTATCTCTAAACCTTCGTTGAGTGGTTCTATTGATCCCTTCTGAATATTGTTGATGAGATTGGGGTGGGGGTGGGGGCTCAATTCCAATCTGCAGGAAGAGGTTTTGAAAAGAGTTGGATGTGGAGCAAATCTTTGGAAACGGGGAGGTCGGATTGCAAGTTTTTGTGAGAAGCTGGGTTTATGCAGGATCAGGCAAGGGGATTTGGAAAATTGGATTACTTGGTGAGTGAGTGGCTCATGAAATTAAGTTAGGTATACTCCCGGATTACCAGTCTGGCTGTTTGGAGGGGTGGGGGAGGCTTCAATTAAAGGTAGATACGGTCTGTTATTTTGAATTTGAACTGCTTGAATTGATTGGTGGAGAATGTCGGATTTTAAAGGAGGTAGGGAGGCGGAAACCCAGCAAAATAAACTCAAGCGCTCTGAGTAAATTTACAACAAAAATGAGTTCTTAGTACTTTTTAAGTCTGTTCCCTGTGATGGGTTGTACTGAAAGGTGTCTGGCAAGGGATCTGAAAATGTCTTAGATTTGGGGGGCTTCATTGTGTAAGAGAATTTTCTTGTAAAGCCCACATCAAATATTTAAGATTGAAGCAGTCTTCAGACGCATGTTCTAATTAAACAGCCCTTTTACTTGTAGAGGATGGAAACTCACCACACTTGGGATCTTGATTAATTAACTTCCAAAGTGTTATATTGTGAGTTTCAGGTTAAATTATCTTTGAAGGCTACAGTGTTGTTTTTTTAAAAGGCAATTTACAGCTCAACACCCACCATTATTTGTTGAAGGTTCTCCTCTGGTTTGGGCTAGGCGTTTTGGAAAGGTCGCCTGACGTGGGTGCCGTGCTCCTGAGCACCTTTTCCCTCTTCGTTGCTAGGTCCTATTTCAATGAGCAAGAACCCCCTGAGTCTCCCCTGCCAGAAGGAGCTGGTGGGGACGGTTATTAACCCCACCGAAGTGTTCTGCTCCGTCCCTGGAAGACTGTCCCTTCTCAGCTCCACATCGAAATACAAAGTCACAGTAGCAGAAGTCCAGCGACGCCTGTCCCCACCTGAATGCTTAAATGCCTCCTTACTGGGAGGTGTTCTCCGAAGGTACACAGACAGGGTGGGTGGGTGGGTGGCTGGCTGGCTGAAGGTGGATGCATGAGCAAGGTATTTTTAACATTGCTGTAACTTCTGTACCTCACGCTGAATTCTAATAGGCTTGGGGAGAGTTTGAGTATGTTTCTTCTCCTTCAGAAAGTGCCAAATGAAGAAGGAAGTGCTAACAGCGCTAACATTCCCATTTGGTTGACTCCCAGCTAGGGGCTGGGGTGGATTTGGTTCCCCCAGGGAGTTTTTTTGAGAGGGGGACTGCTGCAGTCTTTGCTGACTCCACATGCCAATGGATTTTTAAAATGCTAGAAACAATACCTTCGATTTGGCAGGAATGGGTTAAATATAAGAACTCCTGTATCCTTTGATCCAAATAATGCAGGTGTTGTGAGTGTGTGTGTGGGGGGGGCTAGACTTCATTTTGACAGCACTTGGGAAGTTGAGTTTCAAATGTGGTTTGCAGCTAGTAGCCACAGTCCACTTTTAACTTTCGTCATTTTAAACTCAGAGCCAAGTCTAAGAACGGAGGCCGCTCCTTGCGGGAGAGGCTGGACAAGATTGGGTTGAACCTCCCTGCTGGCCGCCGGAAAGCAGCCCATGTGACTCTCCTGACATCGCTAGTAGAAGGTCAGTGGGCTCCCAGTCCCTGTGCTTTGTCTGGTTTTTCATACCTTGAACAACAACCTTCCAGAGCATGAAGTGGAGCTCTTTCAGAGTGACAGAGCAGTCTGAATGCTCATCAGCTTCTGGCGGTGAAACAGTCCGCCAACCGCCTCAGGAGCCTTCACTCCCCAGAGATCAGCCTTGAGAAGCAACATGGGTTTCCTGACCTCCAGGCCAGATACAGGTGCTGGCGTTTCCTGTTGAAGAACGACTTGGACAGGGATGTTGCTGGGTGCCCTCCAGCCAATTCCTCCCCGAGGTCTCGTTTGTCAGACCTTTTGTCTGCCAAGCTGCTTGGTGGCTTTGAACTGCCAGCCTTTCTTTCACACAGAATGTTTAACCTTTGTACCACTAGGGTTCCTTGGGACTTGGGGAATAGTGACTTCACTTCCTGTATGATGGGACTGATCCAATTGGTGCCTTTGGCTCCATTTCACCGTCTTTAAAAGAAAACGAAAGTAAAGCTGACCCCACGTCTCAAGGATCCTGCCCCACCCTTGTAAGAGTTAGGGGCTTCCTTGAATGGAGCTACATCCCGTCGTCCCCCCTTCCCTTTTGGAGAAAGGAGTCAAAGTAAAGTCCAAGCAAAGGGTCTTGTTCATTGCACCCAGGAAAATGGCTTTCTAGCAGAAGCCGAGCCCAAACCTGGGAGCCCCTCTCTAAAGACCTGGCTCACCAGCAGCACCCCACCAGTGGACTAGAGAGCCACGGAGAAGGTGGCCGTGGCCAAACACTTGATTTCCCGGCCTTGATGGCGTGACTGCCAGGTTAAGAAACTTGGCAAGGTCCCTGCCTACTGTTTTACGGGTGTCTTCGGCAGTTAGGGCAAGGAGAAAGGCCCTGGCCTGTTGGAACAGCTATCCCGCACAGAGTGGTGGATGGTGGCAGGCAAGCGTTGCGTGGAATGGGGCTCTGGGGGGGTTACAAGAGAACAATAGCCCCAGGAAATCATTGGGTCCTACCATCTGGGTGTTTGGAAAGTTCCTCCCAGGTTGGAGCCAGGAAAGAGGATTTCTGATCGAAGCTGATTTGCTCCACCGGGAACTGGGTGGTGGACAAAGGGAGTGGGCGCTCTGAGTTGGTAGTTGGAGGCTCCTCACTCTTCGGTGGGGTTGATAACCATGGCTACCAAAGAGCTTTCATGCACAGTGCATTACGCATCGGGCTGCTAACTCAAAGGTCAGCTCTTCTAACTCACCCCCTGCTTTAGACGAGAAAGGTAAAGCTGCCTGAGACCTGCAGCCTCGTTCTCACCCGGTAGGGTCTCTGAGTCAGAGGGGCTTGGTTTGGGTTCTTCAGTCAGGCATGCCCCACTTTCCTCACACTGCCATTTGTTGTTGTTGTTGTTGTTGGACAAGCCCAGGCATGTCACAGGATTATCTTGTTTATGGGTGAGAGGTTGGGATTGTGCAACCCGATTTGAAGAAGTGGTCGAGGGTCTTCTTCATTCCACTGTCTCTTTCATTGTTAACCTCCATTTCAGGTAACCCACCCTGTCTCACCTGCATATGTGGCTGCATTTAAACGCCAAGTTCAGTGGGAGGTGATCTTGGTGGCATGGGGAGGGGGTGGAGGAGGATGGGAGGGAAAAGCGTGGTGGGTTGTGGCTCCACATCCTATAGTTCCCACCCTCGCTGATTATTCTAGGCGAAGCTGTGCATCTGGCGCGGGACTTTGCGTATGTCTGTGAGGCTGAGTTCCCTAGCAAGCCGGTGGCTGAGCACCTAACCCGACCTCACCTGGGAGGAAGGAATGAGATGGCGACGCGGAAGAGCATGCTCCTGGCAGCCCAGTAAGTGTCCTGGTTGGAAGCTGATTGCTCTTTCTTAATGCCCTGACCTTGGAGTTCAGGGATGACCTTGGAGTTCAAACTGAGCCCCAGGGATCTCTTGTTAAAAATAGTTATCTAATCCTCTGAGGTCTTCGGGCTTGTTGCTCTGTAGCAGGAAAGGTGGTTTAAGTGGTGTGTCTAGTTAGCTTGCCCTTTCAGTACTGCATTTGCCTATCTTAAAGGAAGTGTTAAGAATGATTTGTTTTGGTAAAGAAAGATAGCTGGCCTACTGTTTCCAGATAACAAGACATAGGGTGGGGGTGGGTGGGGGTTTGTTTTCTAAATAGAATGATCTGGGTGGGCAAATTATATTATATCCCTTTGAAACCCCTGAGGAGCCTGGTGAAGTAGAGTATACACTGGGGCTGCTACCACAAGAGTTTGAAACCACTAGCTGCTCCAGAGAAGACACCTGAGGCTCTGTTCCTGGACCACAGGGCTACTTCTCCCCCTGCCCTATCCAGTTGCTATGAGTCAGAGTTGACTCAGCAGTGAGGTTGGTTTTGGAAAGAGTTACAGTCAGGGAAACCCACGGGGGCAGTTTCAGCCTATCAGCTTGATGACTTGAGTTGGGTTTGATTTTTGGCTGAAGCTACTGTCTGAGTTTGTCTTCATAACTAATAGTAGACTTTTGGGGGCTGGGGGAGGCTTGATACTAGTTCTGTAAGTGGCGGGGAAGGAGGCCACGTTGGGCAACAGGCCAGGAGCGTGGCCTCGTCTTCCTCAAGAAGGGGTGGTGGGTCCTAGGATGAGAGAGATACACACCAGGTTCTTGCAGTTCATGTATTGGAACCAACCTGTAGCTAAGACAGACCTCCTCTGACGGCCTTTTCCTGAGTCACATGCTGAGCCTTATCTCGTCCCGTCCTGAAGACCGACCGACCTGAACCCGTTTACTGGGGGATAATCCTGTTGACTTTTCTAATTGCGGTGATGGTTAAATGAGATCGTGCTAGAAAAGCTTAGCTCAGTACCTTGAGTATAATACTGGTGCTCAGTTGTCGCCGGGAGTTCAGAAGTCCCTGTGAAGTTTGGTGTAGATCTGAACTCACAGCGAGCTGTGTGGGGTGGTTGGCTGTATCTGATCGCCAGACTTTTCTCCCGTGGTGTCTGCTGAGTGGCTTTGTATCACCAACCTTTCCGTTTTGTTTTGCTAGCCACGCGCTTAACCACATTGCCACGCCGGGGCTCTCTGTAAATTTAAATGATTACTAGGTTTAAAATCACCCTCCATTGGTTCAGTCTCCTGCCATTGCCTCCCAGGTGGTGTTTTGGGGACTCCCTTGCCCTCTTCACCCTTCAGACAGTTGGCAGCTCACCTGTCTTTTGGCGTCTCCGCAGGCAAGTGTGTAAAGAATTCACGGAACTTCTCGCCCAAGACCGGACGCCCACCGGGAACAACAGGCCCACCCCCGTCTTGGAGACGAACATACAGAACTGCCTGTCTCATTTCAGCCTGATCACCCATGGCTTTGGCAGCCAGGCCATCTGCGCCGCCTTGTCTGCCGCCCAGAACTACATCAAGGAGGCCCTGATCATAATAGACAAAGCATACATGAACCCCGGAGACCAGAGCCCCGCCGACGCCAGCAAAGTCCTGGAGAAAATGGAGAAGCACCGGAAATAAGACGGCAGCGGAGGAGGAGTTGTGACCGAGGGACCAAGAGGCGGGACAGTGCCAGCGCTTGATGGACCAGGAGCCCCTCTCCTTCGCTCTGGGGGGCCGACTTTGTTACCTACCTTCCTGTTGATTTCTGGATTGGCAGCAATTTCTATACTTTGTTGGTGTTTTTGTTTTGTTTTTTAAAAATACACCTGCGGAGTTTTCATTGTTTCTCTATCGCCTGAGGTCTCCTAACTTTTGGACCAGGTATCAGAAGATAAAAACCAAGTATTCTTCCCTCCTCCTCTTAAAAAATTTTTTTGATCCCCATCCTCTGAAAGTTGGTGCTACAGTTATAGATCAAACTCATATGGCCACCCCCTCAGCTAACAAAAACCACACGCTTGAGTGTTGCAATGTCAACTCACGTGATTTACATTACCCAGAATCCTCTCCCTCCCCACATTCGAGGACAATGGCTGCCTTTCGGAGTCCACATAAGTATTTACCTTATAAAGTATTTTCACTTCAGATATTAAATCCTGCACGAGGAGGCAAAGGTATCCTATCGCACGGGTGGGGCAGGGCCATTGCCACTGCGTGTCTCTGACTCAAGGACCTCCAGGCCACTCTCAGTTACATTAGAGCCTGGTGCCCTGTCTTCTGAGGAGCTAGTTTTAATAGGTGGTATTCCACACGACACGTTCATCTTGTTCAAAAGGCGCCTCGGGTGGTGGGGATCTTGTGGAAAATAGCCTGCTGAAGAGGGCTTTTCTGTTTCACTACCCTCCCCCTCCACACACACACCTTGTAATGACAGAAACTGGTGAAGCTAACTCTTCAAAACGGGGGGCTTTGGAATGACACGTTCCTTGCAGGTACTGAAGCTTTATTTGCCTATTTATTTCAGGTCTTGGTTGGTTTTATGTTTTTCTGGGTTTCGTTCTGAAGAGTGAGCTCGGAGGCCTTGGCGTTTCTGCCCGGTGTCCCTGTGATGACTGAGCAATGGCGTTGACTGTGCTGGTTTTATTTATGCATAATTTAACGGGGTCTGTAAATAAACTGGTGAATTCCTTCAGATTTTTTTTTTTGAGATATAAGATTTGATTTTAATATTAACTTTTAAAAAGGGTGGTGGGGTGACCGATAGTGCACCTTTAGGTTGTATTTCTATGTATACAGGGTATTAGGACGAAGAGGATGCGAGCCTCCCTTCATGATGGGAAGATGCTATTTAACTGACACGGTTGTTCACAAGGCAATAACTTTGTCTCCTCCTGTTGGGCCAAACCCCTGAAGTGAGTGTGTTGTGTGTGTGTATGTATGCGTGCGTGTGCGTGTGTAAAAAAAAAAAAAAAAGGTTTGGGACTGCACTCCATGGCTGTAAATGTTCCCTAAAGAATCCTGTTGTGTATATGGTATCTGTATAATAAAAGTATTCTCGATAGAATCTGAACGGCTGGCTAGAACTTAATTCTCTTTTTGGAAGTCTCTAGAATGAATGGGGCGGTAGCTGAACTTGCTGGGTTGTAACGAATGTAGTTGAGGGAGTCGAACCGGATGCTGCAGACACCTGAAGTCTCATTCCGTTGTCCCATCTCCGAATTCACTTACTACATTTGGTACAGGAGACCCCCCTCCTCCCCCCGAAGGCTGTTGAGGCATGTGAGAGATTGAACTGACAGAAGGACCAAACTTTGGGAGATGGGGGAGTCAAACTTCAAGTGGAAGATGGCCCTGTTAGAGAAGCATTGTACTCTTGTGACCCTGGTCTGGTGGACACCAACATTTTGATAATGGATATGGAAGGACAATTAATTGTAGATTTTGATGGGGCAGACAGCCTTCGATCAGCCCTTGCAGTTAAACGAAACTTCATCTCTGAAAACCTGACTGCGTCTGCCCAGGGCAGCCACCTGGTTGTCTGATGGGTCTCTGTAGGCAGTCCTAAGGGGAGCAGAGCCTGGCAGGGCCTCTGTACTTGCTGGCTTTTTGTAAAGATCTTGGATGCACACCGCTGATTCTTGATTTCAAGCTGAAGTGGCCTGGCACGTCCTCCAGGAAACGGTCTGTTTACAGATTGGCGTGAGTGGCCTGGCTTCAAAGGGAGGTGGAAGCTGAAGGATTTTGCACATTGGATAAGACTGTGGCTTAAGCTCCAGTCTCATAATCCTTGATTCATAACTCTCCCCAGTGCGCAGCGATTCCTGACTTAAATGTTGGCATTGGGAGGTATTAAGTAATTTAAACTCTGCCAACCTAGTACTTTGCTCTTGGCAGCTTGTCCTTGGCCAGTGAACGTTCCCATTAGGTTGGGTTTATCTAGTTGATGTGTCGAGATCACAATGACTCGGCTTGCAAGCCGTGAAAAGGAGGTCTTAGGTTGACAGTTATTTCTCAATCAAGACTCAAGACAAGGGGGGGTGAGAGGAAGTTATGGGGGCAAAGGGCTGAGGGAGAATGCAATATTATCAGCATCTTAACTTGCTTTTGGACCAGAGTCTGGCTCTTAGGAGCTGTGCCGAATCACAGCACAGACAATGTTCTGGAAAGGCCCCAAAGTCAACCAAGGATTGAAGTGAGTCATACGCTGGGCTTGTCCGGATTCTTCCTCAGTCTTCCTGGGTCCTCTTTACTGGAGCTCCACTGGACAGCCATGCCTGCCCTGGTGCACTGTAAATACAGGTCCTTCCCAGACCTGAGCTGCTGCCAGACAAAACAAAAACTCACCAAGGACGCGACTAAAGCGCTGGCCACCTCGAGATCTATTTGTGGGAAGGGCGCCCCGCCCATCAGCTCCAGGCTCCCTGCTGAGAGAGGGACGAGGTGGGCATTGGCAGCCCCTTGCAACTTCTCCTCACAGAGCAGGGTGGTCTAGAGATGTCCTATGGCTGGAGCCATCTCATCACCCATCCCCCTGAACTGGACCCTCTGCTGCCCCAGGGTTGCACACTGGCTGGCAGACGACAGCAGCCATCTCATCGCCCATCCCCCTGAACTGGACCCTCTGCTGCCCCAGGCTTGCACACTGGCTGGCAGAGGACAGCGGGCGGCTTATGAACTCAACATGACTCAGCTCCAAAGTCTTTGCCCTCTGGGAGAAGCTGATGGTAGTTTGTTTGTTTGGGTTTTTTGGTTGTGCCATAGGCTGTCCCATCAATTGTCTTGGGCCATGCACTGTCTAGCATCTTCCTGATCCAGTGCAGGAGCATGGCCTGGGGACAGGGGGGCGTTGCCCAGTGGTACCTGGCTCCTCAGAGGCTCCTGCAGCCCGGCAGACAGCAAGCATCCTGCATCCCCTCCCCTCGGTGGTCAGCGCTCCCAGGCGACTTTATCTGACATGTGGACCCAATTCAGATGTGGGGAAGAAAAGGAAAAGGGAGGAGAGGAACCTGTTTCTTATTTGAAGTGATTCCATAACAATGGACGTCATGCTTGGTTGGGGGTGGGGGGATGGGAGTGTCTCCTGTCAGGCTAAGCTCAGAGACCTAACGTTCCTGTGAATGAAGTTTAAGAACAAAACCAAGAAAAAGGGTCATGGTGAGGGGTGGGAGGTGGGGGCTGAGACCACGGAGGGAGACTGGATTCCTCTAAAACAGCAGTTCTCAACCTGTGGGTCACGACCCCTTTGGGGGGTCGAACGATCCTTTCACAGGGGTTGCCCTACTCAACAGTAGCAAAATGACAGTAATGAAGTAGCAACGAAAATAATTTTATAGTTGGGGGTTGGTCAACATGAGAAATTGTACTAAAGGGTGGCAACATTAGGAAGGTTGAGAACCACTGTTCTAGAACTTGCTGTTATCTTTCAGGACTGGGGAGCTTCCTCCCCTCTTTCCTTCAGCGGGTGTGTTTTGGGGTGGCTGTTCCAACCAGGTGGAGATGGTCTGACTTGGTCACGTCGCCGCCCTGTTGGCGAGAGGAGAACAGTGAGTGGTCCCCTTCCGTGTTTTGAAGGTGAGGCAGCTCTGGCAATTGGTGGCGACACTTACCGAGCGAGCGGCTTCTCAGGTCAGCTGGGTGCCGGGGGTTGTGAGAATCTTCTCCTTTCGCTGGTGCCAAGGAAGGCTCACGTTCACAAACTCCAGACACTCTTGCCAGGACTCTCTGGTGTGATAATACGCGCTGAACCTCGATTTTTTCTTTCTTTCTGTCAACAGGCTGCTTTTTCCGATCCTCTGAGATCCACAGACACCCCTCTCCCCAGCCCCACCCTCTGGGAGGCTTGTTGACGTGGAGCCACCAAAGCCTGACCCCTTCCAGGTTTGGCCCCCCTGCTGGCTCTGTGCCCAAGCCCGTATAACGGCTGCCAGGCGGCCCACACCTTGGACATCAGCGCTCGAGCGAGGACTGTGGGAACAAGCTTGGCCTCGTGCTTTTTAACAATTCCTGTTACAGGTTTCCCTCCATATCTGACGGAAGGATGTTCCGGTGAAACCTTTCATAAAGGGAAGAAAGCCTTCCCTTCCCTTTCCACGGGCACAGCGTTTGTATTTTTCTACCTTTCATTGCACAAGACATTGTGAGTTAGGCAAAGGCTTACAGAACAGATCACCTCCGTTTCGCATTCAATACTAAACACGTTTTGTTTAAATTCCATTGCAGTCTCCTCGATGAACCCTCTCCTGTCCCACTTCCGCCCCGTGTGGCCTGTTTCCTCTCTTCTTCCTTCCTTGACACGCTGCAGGGTGTGTGGGGACAAGCGCTGCCTTTGGAACTAAAGGGGTTGATTATTCTAACATGGAGCTGAGCCAGCTTCCAGACCCGAAGGGTAACTAACGGTCACCGTCTTGGGGGCAGCGGTGGTCCCAATTGTCTCTCTACAACCTGGTCTCGGGATTTGGAGCTCTCGTCCACATTTTTCTACCCCTCCTTCCAAGACCTTCCATTAGGAACCCTTTCGGAGCAGTGGTGGTGGTGGCAGTGGTGGGGCACCATCTAGTTCCTCCTATCTCAGGGTAGTCCAAGTCCACTGGACTAATTGTTAACCATACACCTTTCAATCCGCCTCACTCTTTTTTCTCTGGACAGGGAGAGACCAATAGTTGAACCTTAGATGACTGTTTATATGGTGTTTAGGCCCAGGAACCATTGGCCCCAGTAGGATGTAGAACATTGTTTGTCTTTGTGGACTTTGTTCTGCCATTTGACCTTGGGGCCCTCTGAGAGACAAATGATCCTGATTGTCAGTCCTGTTGACTCAGTCCCTCAAGGTGCTTGGTTCTAAGAAGCTTTCATAGCTCTGCCCCACCCCCGCCCCACCCCAGTGTGCCCCATCTCATTCATCGATATAATTGCAGCCAAGGTAAAAACACATGTACAAATAACCTCTCAAATAGATGTATTCACCCACTCTCACTCCCACATCTGTTCGGCCTGCTTGGTTATCCAAGTATCGATTCCTAGGTCTCCACTATGGCAAGGTTGTGTGCGTGACAGTATTTGCTCTTGCAAACCTCTGGATGGACGGGGAAATGTTGGAGTCAGTAACAAACCTTCCTTTCCAGACTATAACCTACCAAACCACACATAGAATGTAAACACCATCGACTGACCGACCGAGTTCCCAGACGACAGCTCA